TTTGGTATTATTGGGAAAATTGTTATTAGCAATGATTTTAGTTTAAAGTAATTAGGATTGTAAGGTAATTTTTATTAATTTAATGTATGTGTTCACTTATATTTAAGTAGTGGTTTTGAATTTAATTATATTTTAATGAAATGATAGTTATTTTGTGAATTTTATGTTTGTAGGAATTTGGGTATACGTTTAAGTTGAAATAAACGTGCATGTGGAAATAATTGAAATATTGATACTAAGTATTTGTAATGCTTGCGGTATGAATTCGTTGGTGACGTGTATAATGTAATAGATGATTTAGAGGTAAAAGTTTTTGGATATTTTATTTATTTTATATGTGGAAATGTTCATATTTGGAAAGGGTAAATACTTTTTCGCGATCATGTAATTTCATATATGTTCTTTTTACCGGGTTTAAAGATTGAGAAAATTGTCATGTATTTTCGTGAAATTTTTCTAATTTATGAAAAAAAAGCAGTGTACATGGATATAGTGAAGAGTGTGCGCAATGCCATTTTTGTGCAATTCTTGGATGTTTTTTTAAGTAAAAATAAGTCGGCGTGTACATGGTTCATGTGTATGTGTTATTTTAAAACACGCCGTAAGGTGTATGGTATTGTGCACTTTTTCCCAATTTTGGAGTGAATATTTGTCATGATTAAGCAGTTTTGTTTTGATAAAATTTCTAGCATAAGTGTAATTCGGCTAGTAGATTGTTGGAAGAAGTGTTCAGTAGATAAGAAGAAAAGAAACATGTCTTTACTTCGTGAAGACAAAATGGCGGCGGGGAAAAAAAAATGGAGGGTTGCTGTAGGAGAGTTGGTTGCCAAATTTTCGCCAAAAAATCGTCAAGTTACCATAATGTAAAGATCAACCGCATAATTTTATTCCTTGATAATTAATTTCTAGGACACTTATTCTTTTGCACTGCCCATCATCACTGTGGGTGCCCTATGCCCTTCACAATTTTATACAAATTATATTTTTAAAACAATGGACAATAGCTAGTAGAGGCTAAGTGATTTGTCAGTGAGCATATTAGCATCTTAATGTCAGGAGAGCTAGAAGCAAATATGTGCTACTACCAATATGGTAGCTACTTAGAAAACATTTCGGTTTAAGTTGCTTATTCAGAGAAAGTTTCAGTTCTTAAAATTTTTGAGTTCAAATTCTGAATTAGCTATGTCATCAGCATTAGAATCAGCTGCAACAGACTGACGATGGTTCTCTGCAGTATAACTTGGAGAGACTTTACTGCATAGTTTGAAAGATGGAGAGACTGGTAGTCAGACATGGCTGAATTGAATATAATTTTTATTACTGGACAAGAGCTAATCATTAAAACCATATTTTTCATCCCACATGATCATGGGCACAATACGTACTCCACATTTTTATATAGAGTATCATATTTTAGATAATGGCATAATTACAGCACAACAAAGCAAAGGGAGAAGTAACGTCTTGACTGCAAGAGAGTTGAAGCAAAAATGCGAAATTGTCCAATATGGAGGCTCACCAAGGAGAAGGTTTTGGTTTAGGTTACAAAGGTTTCAGTTCTCAAAATTTTGAGTTCAGGTTCTGAATTAGCTATGTCATCAGCATTATGCAAATCATGAAAGATGCATTGATCTAGAAATGATGCAGTCTAAAAACATTACTACCATTTTTAGAATAGAGAGAGGGAATTAAGGACTATTGCTAATTTAAATTATAATTTTGATTTATATATTTTTTATCTTACATATACATGTGTAATCAGATCACTGGAGAAGTAGCTGTTAAAAAAAGATGTTTATCGATGACATGGTAAAAATGACAGGTCCTCATAACCAAAATCAGGGTGAATATTCGGATTATGGTAACTCGGCAAAACATTGGCGACAAATCCTGCTACAGCAAGCTGCTAGTTTTTTTTTTTTTTTTTTTTGGACACAATTTTGTTTTCACAAAGTAAAGTAAATGCATGTTTTTTTTTTTTTTTTTTTTTTTTTTTTTTTTTTTTTTTTTACTCAACATTTTTTCCAATAATCTGCTAGCCGAATTACGCTTATGCTAGAACTTTTAAGAAACAAAAGTGCTTAATCATGACGAAGATTAGGTGAGAAATTGGGAGAAAGTGCAGAAACGCCCACTGCTTGCCGCGTTTTTAAGAATTGCATATACACGGTATCCATGTACACGTCAACCTATTTTCACTTAAAAAAAATCCCAGAATTGCACAAAAATGGCATTGCACACACTCTTGACTTTATCCATGTACACATCGACCTATTTTCACTTAAAAAGTCAAAGAAAATTGACAAAAATCCAATTCTTGGTTGATCTTTACAATATGGTAACTGGTAGTTTGGCGACACTTTGGAGGCGATAAAGGTTACTACCTGGGACTTTGGTAATAATGTGAGCAGTACTCAGTTCCGATTACGCATTATTTTGTGTGGGGAAAATGAGAGATCATGGGATATGTCATGTGATATTAATGGACGAATTACGGTTCTTTAATCGGAAAAGGGGGGAATTTGGACAAGTATCTGTGGATGTATATTATTTTGTATTAAGCTTCATTGTGTGTTGTGTGAAGTAGGGTTGAATAATTTTGGGATTGTATGGCGCTGTTTAAAGTGAATTGTAGATGAGATAAAGAGAATTTTTTTTTTTTATGAAATTCTATCAAATTCGGAAAAAAAATCGTTCAGTAATTTTATTGAATCCATAATAAAAGTGTATCCACCATGTAAGGAAGATTAGGTTAGTTAGACTTTGTTAAGAATGTGAGTAGTATTCAGTTCTGATTACGCATTATTTTGTGTGAGGGAAATGAGAGATCATGGGATATGTTATATGATATTAATGGACGAATTACTGTTCTTTAATCGGGAAAAAAATCTGGCAATTTTGTATTTGGCTTTATTCTGTGTTGTGTGAAATAGTGTTTGTGAATTTTTGGATCCCATGGCCGTAACTAAAGTGAATTCGAAATGGGTATTTAGTGGTATTGAAAAGGATAGTAATAAATGTTTTTTAAGGTTGTGCGAGAGAGAAATAAAGATGTTTTATTATGTTATTTATTTTACCTGGTATCTTGCTTTGAAAGATAAGTATGATTTTAAAGATTCTGAAAACAGAAGTAAGAAAAGAAAAGTGTATCCGCCACGTAATCAAGATTCTGAAGAAGATTAGGTAAGTTAGTATTTTTAATTATTTCAGGATATTATTTTTATGCATTGTTGTAAATGTAAGGTGGAAAGGAATTTGTATTATTGGGAAAAATGTTATTAGCAATGATTTAGTTTAAAGTAGTAATTAGGATTGTAAGGTAATTTTATTAATTTAATGTATGTGCTCATTTATATTTTAAGTAGTGTTTTTGAATTTAATTATATTTTAATGAAATGATAGTTATTTTGTGAATTTTATGTTTGTAGGAATTTGGTATACGTTTAAGTTGAAATAAACGTGCATGGAAATAATTTAAATATTTGATATTAAGTATTTGTAATGCTTGAGGTATGAATTCGTTGGTGACGTGTATAATGTAATAGATGATTTAGAGGTAAAAGTTTTTGGATATTTTATTTATTTTGTATGTGGAAATGTTCATATTTGTAAATGGTAAATACTTTTTCGCGATCAGGTACTTCATATATGTTCTTTCTACCGGGTTTAAAGATTGAGAAAATTGTCATGTATTTTCGTGAAATTTTTGTAATTTATGAGAAAAAAGCAGTGTACATGGATACAGTGAAGAGTGTGCGCAATGCCATTTTTGTGCAATTCTTGGATGTTTTTTTAAGTAAAAATAAGTCGGCGTGTACATGGTTTATGTGTTATTTTGAAAAATGCGTAAGGAGAATGGTATTGTGCAGTTTTTCCTAATTTTGCAGTGAATATTTGTCATGATTAAGCAGTTTTGTTTGATAAAATTTCTAGCATAAGTGTAATTCGGCTAGTAGATTGTTGGAAGAAGTGTTCAGGAGATAAAAAGAAAAGAAACATGTCTTTAATTCGTGAAGACAAAATGGCGGCGGGGAAAAAAAAATAGAGGGTTGCTGTAGGAGAGTTAGTCGCCAAATTTTCACCAAAAAATCGCCAAGTTACCATAATGTAAAGATCAACCTAATTCTTCTTACTCTTGTAAAAAGCGCCAAACACATAAGTGGGCAATTCTGCACTTTAGCAGCAAAATTGTTTCTAAGTGCTTATTAGCTAAAATCCCGATTGGAATTTTCCGGAAAATGTCACATTACATGTCTCATGATCTCTCATTTCTCTGAGACAAAATAATCTGTGATTCAAACTGTGTACTTCTCAGATTATCGCTAAAGTCCTAGCTAGTAACCTTTATCGCCTTACCAAAATGTCACCAAACTACCTGTTACCATATTCCAAAGATTAGCCCAAATCAGTGCAACTGCATGCTGATGATGGCTGTGGGATGCTAAAATAAAACAGTGCATAAAACTTCTGTTTATACTTACTAGGTTCTCTGCAGAAGTGCTTCCCAAGTTTTAGTAACAGATTACTAGAACCAGGAATGCTGTACACATTAGTATTAACATATGCTATATTTTTTGGTACTTATTAATTATCATAGCACCTTATTATAGCAGCCCCCAACATTGAACCGCTAATCAATTGAGATATCTTGCTGAAATCTTACCATGTGTTCTTGTATCTCGCTAAATCTTGATTGACTAGCGATTAAATTTTCGGGGCCACTATAATAAGGAAGTACCATATTTTTTTAATGATTAGAAATAAAATGCCCCCCAAAAAATAAATAAAGATTCAGAATTTTTCAATTTTTTGAAAAAAGAATAAATTATACTTCTTACACATTTTATAATTCATATTTATATTTTTTAAATGCAAATCTTTAGTTCTGGTCTTTTAATTTAATAATTTTATAAATTTTAATTAATAATTTAATAAAGGAAATGCATGAAGGTACTAAATGAGGTCGTATGAATATATAAAAATATAATTCAATTGCATACTTCTTTGACATACCCAGACCAGCTTTCAAAACAGTATCCACACGTAAGGATGGAACAGTTTTGGAGACTAAGTTATAAGCATCATCAGTTTCTTCAAGTTCTAAGTCTTCTTCATCTTCCACATCGCTTTCTTCTTCCTCCTAAAAAAAAAGTAATATTAATTAAATCATAATTTCAAATATAAACTCGGAATGATTTATATTAATACAGTCTACTAATCTAATTCTACTCAATACAATTCATTGTTTTTAAATAATCCTTTAGTTTCTTGATGTTCTGTAAATCAAATGACAGGACCGAAGATCCATATAATCGTTACTAGGTGTACAAGTACTCGTTACTAATCTATATATATGCATCAAGCGGGAACGTTTCGAAACCATTAACATTCCCAAACTCTTTACCATGAAAGGATATAAATCTTTTTTGCCATTGTACGGTTTTCAAAACTTCATAATGTTTAAAAAAAATCAAACCACTATGAATATCAAAATAGTTTCTCCAATATCAAGCAAATTCATACCTCGAGTTCCTGCTTTGATCCCTTTTTCTTTTTAGCATAGTTACGTGTTGTTTCTCTCTGAAAGAAACCAGCTGAATACAGTTCAGGTAAATGTCTAGCAGTCAAACTTTGTGATGGAAAGGCACACTTGAACACATTATTTTTTCCTAAATTTCCTACCGAAATAATAGCTCTACAATTTCGACATTCTTCAACTACAGTTGCGAACAGCCTCAAATGGATTCTGTAGCAGAACATGTTTACTTACAAACTCACGGTATACTGTTTACATTTCTCAACGTGACTATCTTCGTCGAGTCGAGTCGCCCGATTTCGATCTTCGTAGGAGCTAAATTTGAAGGAATATCTGCAAAAAATGTTTAGCAAAGAATACATTAAATTTTTTTATTTATGCATTAATTATATTACTATTTGCTAAAATTAATTTATTTATTAAGCTTATTGTACTAGAAATGGTCCTATGGTGATCTGACGGAATTTCGAAGGAAAATGCAAGTTATATGAATGGCAACGCTCTGTTACTTTCTAGTTATTTTATGTAGGTAACGTAAACATAAGCGTTTAATCATTTTGTGATACCTTCCTCTCTGTATTTAATAGTGCTAAATACAGTTAAGCATTCGATAAACTATATCAGTAGTTTTTTTAAATTCAAAATGCATTATATTTTATCAGTCCTGAAAACTATGTATTGCTTTGAAAGGTGAAGCATGGCAGTTTTAATTTATAAAACTTGTGAAAGCAAGACACCTTCCTATGATCACTTTATTAAAACAGAACTTGATACTATGGAAGATCAGCCAGTAGATTATAGTATAAAGTATGCAGATCAAGACACACATGACATTTGTCATATGAAATCAAAAAGAAGTCTACTTCAGTTTCGCGCATCCAGCGTAACTGAGACACAAATTAATAAGCCCATATCCCATGATGAAATTAAGGTATACTGCATTGAAGGTACTCCTCTTGCCGTGTCATCGTCGTCATCATTACATGATCTTCGTGAAATTGGGTTATCTATTCAATCAACGGAAAAGCCAGCTTGTTCATCATCATTAATTGCACATTTAAGTAGTACTAAAAATAGCGAAGATTCGCGGAATAATAAATCTTCCGAGTCGTCAGTTTTTATTGAGGACAAATGCATACAAACTAAAGAGATAGATGTTGCAAATTACAAAGAAGGTATAAGTCAAGAATTATTTTTATTCTTTTTGAATTTAAGTGCATTATGCTCTGTTAACTATGTGGTATTTTTACTTATTTCACTAGTTATTGGTTCAATTTTCTTTTTAGGGAAAAATGTTTTCGCTTTATATATGAGATTTTACATCTTGTCTGAGTAATTACTAGGAAGTAAACCCAGAATAACACTATCAGTGTAATACAATTTTATTCACTGTGCCATTATTAATCGTAAAATTTACTGTCAGGAAGACCTGTAAGATTATGCTCTAAATAAGTAAATTTTAAAATGTGTTGCTCTATAATTATTATATGGGCAGGGGATTGTATCATCTAAAAATCTGAAATCAAGTAATTTGACATAAGTGTGTGCAGTCATTATATCAAGAAACTAAATACCTTGGTTGATGATCTTTTGAATACTAATTTTCAGCCTGTTTTATTTTTGTCTTTGTAATAATCAAATCATTTTCAAATTCAAATAGGTTGTTCTTTTTTAATTAAATTTACTCATGTCATGAAATCTAAACACTGTTTTGAATGAACATTTCATAGATCACATCTGTTCTGTATCAATAACAGTCGATATATCATATTTGAATGAACATTTCATATAGTTGATTTATAATACATGCAGTCTAGATGGTATAGTGGTTAGGTTAGCCTACTGTAGTACTGAAGGGCTCGGGTTTGGATCCCGGAGAAGGCATGGCTGTAATTGTCCGCCCCTTAATAGGAGTAATGGTGGCCCACCGATTAGGTGCTTCAATGATAAAATGGCCACCAGTGACGGCATTAGTAGTGGCCAGAGTCGTAGCTAGGGTTTTCAGCACCCAGGGGCAACTGAAGATTTCTTGCCTCCTACTGCTTGCCAAGGATGGAAAACATTTAATTCTAAAATGTCGTAACATCAATTTGGCGCGCCTTGAATTCTGTGCCCGGGGACAGATGTTCCCCCTTGCCCCCCCTCTAGCTATGCCCCTGGTAGTGGCCAAGCCTAAGTCAGCTAAATGTCTGCCAGTGGGGAAGGAAGTTGATCTATGATGTATTATCACAGTAGACTCTTGATTAATTCAGGTAGTGTAGGAAACGATGTACACAGTTGATCTGACAGCAGTTAAAAGAAGAATCCGGTTGATCTTTACATTATGGTAACTTGGCGTTTTTTTGGCGAAAATTTAGCGACCAACTCTCCTGCAGCAACCCTATATTTTTTTTCCCGCCGCCATTTTTTCTTCACGAAGTAAAGACATGTTTCTTTTCTTTTTATCTACTGAACACTTCTTCCAACAATCTACTAGCCGAATTACACTTATGCTAGAAATTTTATCTAACAAAACTGCTTAATCGTGACAAATATTCACTGCAAAATTGGGAAAAAGTGCACAATACCATACTCCTTACGCATTTTTCAAAATAACACATGCACATAAACCATGTACACGCCGACTTATTTTTACTTAAAAAAATCCCAGAATTGCACAAAAATGGCATTGGCGCACACTCTTTACTATATCCATGTACACTGCTTTTTCTCATAAATTAGAAAAATTTCACGAAAAATACATGACAATTTTCTCAATCTTTAAACCCGGTAAAGTAAAAAGAACATATATGAAATTACCTGATCACGAAAAAGTATTTACCCTTTCCAAATATGAACATTTCCACATATAAAATAAATAAAATATCCAAAAACTTTTACCTCTAAATCATCTATTACATTATACACGTCACCAACGAATTCATACCGCAAGTATTACAAATACTTAGTATCAAATATTTAAATTATTTCCATGCACGTGTATTTCAACTTAAACGTATACCAAATTCCTACAAACATAAAATTCACAAAATAACTGTCATTTAATTAAAATATAATTAAATTCAAAAACACTACTTAAAATATAAATGAGCACATACATTAAATTAATACATACGTAAATACCCATTTCGAATTCACTTTAGTTACGGCCATGGGATTTAAAAATTCACGAACACTGTTTCACACAACACAGAATAAAGCCAAATACAAAATTTCCAGATTTTTTTTCCCGATTTCCCCCCCCCTTTTCCGATTAAAGAACCGTAATTCGTCCATTAATATCACATGACATATCCCATGATCTCTCATTTCCCTCACCACAAAAATAATGCGTTATTCGGAACTGAGTACTGCTCACATTATTACCAAAGTGCCAGGTAGTAACCTTTATCGCCTCCAAAATGTCGCCAAACTACCAGTTACCATATTGTAAAGATCAACCAAGAATCCATATTATAATTAACAGAAAAATGCTACTAGCAATTTATATGTATCATAAAGCAGTTTCATTTAGAGAGAAGTTTAGAGTTTATTTTTTTATGGTGTATGAATTAAATAAGCAAAGAAAACAAGTTTTCTAAACAGGAAAAGGGAAACAGTTGTTAAGCATACTATAGGAACTAGATCAGAGATACTATAACATCAGGAATCAGCATATAAGTTTTTGGATATGTTGATTACTATACTAATATCCTAAGCATTTGTCTTTTAGCATGTTATTTTTGTTATAAGAAGAACAATGTTTTTGTTTACATTGCTCTTAAATTTCAATAATAGTTGATGGAAAACAGAAGATAAATGGTTGTATACTTAATTAATTTTTCCAATTTAGTAATTTATTTTTGACAGATGATTTAACAGTGTTTATGTATTCCAGATTATGTGGAATAAAATAATGCACTGTCATGGCTAAAAACAATATTAAATACTGTGACTTGAATTGGCTACTATTTCTGTTATCTCATGCATTTTCTTTTTCATTTTGTTTTGCCTGTAGAAATTTTTTTTTATTCTGATGGTTTGCACTAGTAATTTTACCATTATTTCATAATAAAAACTTAACTATTGTTAAGACAAAGCCTGATTAACTTTTTTTTTAGACAAAGCCCAGTTGATTTGCTCCTCAGATAGTTGAGAGTTTATTGTACTTTGATACAGAAAGATTATTATTGTTAATGTTTACTTTTGTAAATATACTTAGTAAATGTTTACCCAAAATTTAATCACTCCAGTTTTCAAGTATATTTTTTTAGTATGCTGTAATTTTTAGCCTAACTATAATAAAATATTTGCTTTTTTTTCCCCCCAGGAAAATCAATAGTTTTTAGTAATGCAGATGACACTTCAAAGACATCATCACCATTAATTTTTTCAAGGTCAAGCTCTGTTTGTTCATTGAATAGTTTCGAACAACAATCTACAATTGATGACAGAAGTTCTGTTAGTGTTTTTAGGTAATATTTAATTTGGTTGATTCCCTCCCCCCAATTCTGTTTAATGAAGTTTTAAAAAATTATAGAGAAGGTGTTGAAAATTATTTATAGTATAAAAGAATATATTGGCTATTTTTATATTCATTTGTATGTCTATTGTATGTTGATAAAGGCTAAAAATAAAAGTATGTTGATAAAGGCTAAAAATAAATAAAGCCTTCCCCCCCCCCATTTGGGATTTTCTCAATATAAAAGTGTTAGAAAATTGAAAATAAAATTAGCCAAAGAGTTCAAAGTTTAGAACATCTAATTAAATACTAACATAATAATATTTCATTAAAAACTTGAATTGTATTACAAATAGTTCAGTAACATGAATCATGTATTATAATGTGAATTTAAGACCATTTTGAGCACCTTTGAATAATAAGGGTTATTCATAAAGAAGTTATCACTATGCTGTTTGACTGTCTCCAAAGAAGTGTCCATTTAGACTCCAGACCATTCAGGGAATTTTGAAGTGACCTGAAGAGATAAAATTTGAGACTGCAAGATCTAGTGAATATGAGGTGACATGAAACATCTCAGTCATACTCAATTAGTCAGTCATTGAGAAATATTTTTAAAAATTTCCCTCTTGCCAACAGAAGACATTCCAATCTTAGAAATAACCATAATAAACTTGAGATACAGTTTGATTCTTCTATATATTGTACATTTGGTCAAGTTCTCTACAAATTCAATATTCAGTTTAATCACCAATGGAAAATCTGTTTGATTTTTAAATGCATCTTTGATTTTAATTTTTGGAGAATTGGCATTTCTTATCAGTGTACTTTGACCAAACTTAGTTGGCTATACCAAAAGCATGTTAAAATGTCACATCAAAGAGCATGAATCCTATATTCAAAAATGAGAACTAAGTAGATCTTCAATAGCTGATCATAATTGGTCAATGAACCAAACTTTTAGTTTGATACTGTGAAAATTATTCTTTAAGTTTTTTCAGTTGGGAAAAGAATTTCCGGTACTATTCGGTTTTGAGGGCCGTAAAAAAATTCCAGCGAATATGTATGCGCGAAAGCGCCAAATCTAGCAAACACGCCCATTTAACAGCGTGCCAAATCTAGCGTACGCGCTGATTTCAGATTGCATAAGTTTATATAGTTTTATATTTCTTAACACGCCATTGAAATACTAGTTTAATTTTTAATTCCTTTTTTGATAACCTATGGATTTAATAATTTGGGAATTGCCCATGGTGAAAAGTCTGCGATATAATTATGGGTAAAGTGCAGAATCACCCTTTGCTTGACGCGTTTTTAAGAATTGCAAATACTCGGTATCCATGTGCACATCGACTTATTTTCACTTAAAAAAAAATCCCAGAATTGCACAAAAATGGCACTGCACACACCCCCTGACTTTATCTATGTACACATCAACCTATTGTCACTTAAAAAGTAAAAGAAAATTGACAAAAATCCAATTGTTTTTCCCTTGTAAAAAAACCGGCAAACAAATAACAATAAGTGGGCGATTCTGCACTTTACCGAGAATGTTTTCAAAGAAAAAAAAAAGGCATCATTCATTATAGAAAATTATGTTTGAACAACCAACGAGATGACATTATGCTTTAGCGATAACTCGGTAGCGAAATATTATATCAACTTAAACTTTTATCTAAATTAAAACATCAATATTAGATAGTTATTTACTATTATACTTCCTTTCTTGCGTTAGGGTTGCCGCAATTACTTTTGGCATCATTGGCATCAACAAAAGTTTGGCGATTTTTTACTGCCCTCGAAACCGAATAGTACCGAATTTCCTTGTAGCCCTTCATGTTCATAATTTATCATAAGAGTTCTTTAGTTAATGACATTAATTCCAATCTAGTTCTTTCCAGCATTTTCAAAATTTTAATAGCTTAGCTTCTTGATTTTTTATTGCTACTATTTCCCCATTGCTATGTTAATTTTTGCTTTACTTTGCCTGTTGATTTTCATGTAAAATGATTGCAGTTTCTCTCATTTTGCAAAATATGTTTGCTGCCGAAGAAGAAAGATCAAATCTGATCATCAATCTGATCCCTCAAATCTGGTAGCTTTTGAAAATCCATACTAATCTAAGGTTACTTTTTTGTCTAATTTTAAGCATAAAATTTTTTAAGAGCTTTTGGATATTTATAAGACTTTAATAATATGCAATGCATTGTAATTTATCCTGATGTTTGTTTCTGTAACATTACATGATTTACATAGCAATATATTAAAATGTATTTATTTAAAAAATTTCCAGTTAGCAGAATATTTAAGCATAATACAAAAATTTAAATATTTTCAAAAGCCAGCGTAAAAAATCATATATAAACAACTATTACATTTAAATTAATGTTGAATGTATATATATATATATATATATATATATATATTTTAACAACAGATCAATGTAATGAAGAAATAAATGTTTGTAAATTAGTATGAAATTTAAATACCATGATATTTTAATTTTAAAAAAAACCATGACATTTTCTGTTACTATCTAAAACTTAACAACTATTTATCAAACATTTATATTATGTTTGTTCTATAGTCTTTTATTTGTGAAAATTATCATTAATTTTAAAATTAAGTATTTGCATAATAATGTTTTAGGTTTGCACTCAAATTTATGTTTTGTTGGAGCATTATTAATTATTTTTTATATTTTCAGTACTCTTACAAGTGGAATTATTTCTCCAAGTGAGCTACCTGATTCTCCTGGTGAAACTGTGTCCCCAAGTTTAACAAAAACCAAGCATACTGAATTTCATTTCCCTGTTAATTACACAGAGAAACCATCTAACTTTAATTTTAGTAACTTGAAAAGGCAGTCAAATGAAACTGTTTCTCAAAAAATACAAAATGGGATTTTTGATGATGCTTTAAAAGTATATAATGAAGAAGATGATTTCTGTTCAAGATCCAGTCTCAGTTCCTTGAGTATAAATGATAGTTCGGCTCATATTTCATTGTCGGTTTTTCAAGTTCGAAGTATGAAATCAAATATTAATCATGCATCTTCAGTTGATATTAACTGCTGTATTGCTGCAGAGGATTCATCAAGAAGGTGTACAGTAATGTGCCAAAATAATTTAGAAAATACTTGTGTGATTTCAGATAAAACAGACGACTGTTCTTATAAATTTAGTTTAAAAAATTGTAGTCCAAAAGCAGATAAATGGACATCTGAAGAATCTTATAATGATATATCTAGTTCTGTTTTCCAAGATGAGAAAAAGGAATATAAGTATGGAGAAAAATTTTCTTCTGATTTCAGGCTTAAGGTCTTAAATTTTAATACTGAGTACAGAGAGCATGAAAAAGTTTTGGGGAAGAAAACCTTTGAAAGAAATTGTAGTAAATCATTACGAAATTCTTGGGAATGTGATGAAAAAGGAACTTCAAGGTTTGATGATTCTAAATTTGTATTTACAAAACTGACTGAAGAAAATGTTCAAAATGAAGGGTCCAGATCTTTTTTTGAGGATGCAGTGAAAGACTATGCATCTGAAGGTAATTTTTCTTCTGCTTCTAGTCTCAGTGCATTAAGTTTCCAGACAAAGAATACTGAACTACCAGAAACTTTTTATGAAAAAATCTTAAATCAAAATTCAGGAGAAATACCTGTGTCAACAACGTTTCTTAAAAATATGGTAGGCTACTTAACTTTTCTTTCCTAGTTTAACCTAAAATGTTGTTCACATGCGTATGTATTTATATATAAGGATATATTAAAATGTTCTTTGACTACTGTTAACAAAAAAAGAAGAAAAAAGAAAAGCTTGTATTTGAATGCCATCTGCTTCAAAATAGTTGTACTGTATAGCATGCACTAATCTCTGCATTCCTGTCATCACTGTATTAAATTCCAATTAGGATTGTCTTCACTAATCTGTTTGACACACCAGCAATATCTGGACTGTCATTGATAATCTTCTAATGAATTCGGGGTTCATATGGTCCTTAAGAGTTCTTTAAAGTTCTTAGTTTTTTGGGGGGGGATAGATTTTTGGTCCTTAAAAAGAAATATATATATATACAGATGCCCCTTGGCAATTTTGGTCCCTTATTTTGGCTTTGTGTAGTGGCGATTTTTGTCAAAAATCGGTGCTACACAAAGCCAAACTAACAGTGCACAAACTCAGTATCCATGTACACATCGACCTCTTTTCACTTAAAAAAAAAAAAAAAAATCATCAGAGAATTGCATAAACTAGGCATTACGCACTTCCTTGACTTTGTCAATGTACACATCAATCTATATTCACTTAAAAAGTCAAAGGAGCAGCCAACAAAAAGTATATAATCTCAGTAAATTACATTTTAAATCAAATAATGAAATAACATAAAAAAGGAAATCAAAGGAAATATCCACTTACCTTATTTACAAATTTCCCCGTCTTCAGTCAAACAAATTCCTTAACGGCATAAAAAATTTCCTAAAATTATCTGAATTAGAATCTGTATACTGGCCACATAAATTCACAAAAATAAGCATAAAAAATATCCTCCATAGTCCAGTTATCCTTCGACGCTCGACCATATGCATTTCCTTCCTACAAACTGCACACGTATAATGTAACTAAGTAAACCTTCATTTACACATCAAGCAATTAATGCTTTTTTCCCTTTCGTTCTAAATCGTACAGAAACTTCAAATTAATCGTACAACATTCAGCCATTTTACTGTGTAAACGACAAAATAACAACGTACTTCTTATTCAAAATCCGCCCCATCATTCAAATTCACTGCAATCACGCAACCAATTACGTTATATTAGCATTTCCATAGCATCCAACTACCCAGGTTACCATAAATGAAACAACAACTTGGCGATAAACAGGGCTGTGGAGTCAGTAGGGAAAATGACCAACTCTGACTCTGATTCCAACTCTTGAAGTTTTAAAGACTCTCATTCTGGCTCCAACTCCCTCATGTATCTGTAAACATATACACATGGGTTGCAGCTTATTTTTTTTAAGAAGTAATAAATGCTACAAAAAATGAATGGTATAGCAAATTATTTATATTAATTAGCATTTATTATGAAATGGAAAAAATACCATTAGTAATTTCTCAGTATAGCTTCTGCAAGATCTTCTTTGATAATGAACCATAGATCCAATTTGATGAACTTCAGAGATGAGAAGAGTCTTTTGACACTGACTTGAATAGGAGGAAGAGCTGTTGCTGTTAGGACTACTTCTTTTAACTTTCAGGCTGGATTTTTTATAAGTTCTAAAAGAGGTGTCTTGCAAGAGCAATCATATTTCTCTATTTCTTCAAATGCCGTATAGAAATTTTGTTTATATTTTTTCATTTTTCTATCTAAAAGCTCTTGGTTCTTTGTTTTCATTCGCTTTGCCTAAGCCTTTTCAATATTATCCAAATATTTTTCAAAATCTAATTTATCACTGGAAGAGGATGATAGAGACTCAGTTGCAATGTCTGCAGTTTGACTATCCTGATTTGAATACTCCAATTGTTTTGAGAATAATTTCATTCTTAATGAAAGTTCATAGATGCCTTTTTAATTTGTCTGTAATCCAACAAAATTCGGTGTTTAGGATCTACATATATTGAACCTAGCAAGATCTCCTTGTCTAGCAAACTAGTTTTTCTTTTCTTCATTGAAGAAATGATTCCTTCTGCAATAAACTCTCTATTTCAGAAAGAACAAAATCGCATTCTTCTATCCTCACCTGTTAATTCTTCAGATTGTAGCCTTTTTGTGACTATATACAGTGTAGAAAGAAGAGTTTCCTATTCTGCAATATCATTCCACAGTCTTTCTGTTGGTGAAACATTAGGGTTATCTACATCTTCTAAAAAAGTTCTTGATTCTAACAACCTCTATATCAGGAAATATGTACTTCCCCATCACGTTGCTTGATCAATAATTGCTCCTTTTTCTGCTTGCTTCCTAAGAATGGCATCAATTTTGGGAGTTCTTGCTGCTTACCTAAATTGTAACTAAATGAATCAGTTTAATCAATAATGGCAAATATAGCATCTATCCTCCTCCCTTATATTTATTTATTAATATGTCAATTAAATGGAAAATAACTAGGTATTACTAATGTATATAGTCCATAAATAAAAATAATAACTAAGTTTGCTATTAAATCTTTTTTCAATTCACTTTAATTTCATTACAAATTCAAACTGTCCAACATAAACTGCAGTCAGAATCGATGTGTTTTTAGCGACTCCGACTCCTTTTACCCAAAAATGTGCCTAACTCCAACTCCAACTCTACAGCCCGGTGATATATGACACAACAACTTAGCAATAATCCAAGGGGCACCCTCAATCTACTCTAACCCTTAAAAGTTTTTAATTTCTGCCAAAATCAAAAGAAGGATCTTAGTTTTAATAGTCTGAAATTCTGTGGGTTTTTATTACTGCCATTTTGAGTGTGAATTTGGATGGCGATTCACTGACAAATATGGTTATCTTTTGAATGAATTCATGGGTTATAATTTGTTCCTTAAACAGTGGGATATTCGAGTTTCTGGGCAAGAAATGAAACATAAGCAATTTGAAACAATTTCATTTTTTTTTCTAATGAAAAGCTCTTAAACAACTTTTCGTCTTTAGAGATGTGAATTCTTAAACGGTTCTAAATTTGGTGACTTATCAATATTTTGGAAATTTCCGTAGAGAATTAATTTGGAAATCTGCAAAATTTTTGACAATGTTTTTAAACTTTAAAATACTGTAAATTTCATTAAAATAATCATGATACATTGAAATTATATTTAAAAAATAACATTAAAATTTAAGAAATACATTGAATTAAAAGTGTCATCTTTTTTAATTTTTCATGGTAATTTTCATTCTGAATGTTCAGTTACATTTTCCCCATGTAATTGTCTCAGAATATTTAGAATTCTCAGGGTATGCATCAGTTTCCTCTATAAAATACTAATTTTACTTTTTTTTCGTCTGATTTTTTTTAATAAAATATTTCTGGGTTTTTTGCTGTTACAAAATTGGTAGGGGTAATTTTTCTTTTAGGATTTTAGACATTGCAACTTGGAAAGTTTGGAAGGGTTTGAAGGCAAGATTTATTAGACCCATGATTCTAGAAGATTCCAAAAGAATGTGACAAAATGAAAAGTGTCTTCATGGTGCTAGCATGTAATGGATGTATTCTATAAAAAGTTTGTGATGTTTTGAATTATAGGACAGTGTGTTTCTGGCCTCTGCTTTAATGCTGCATTGGTTCCTGCCAATTCTGATTTTTAGCTTTATCCTTTTAGTTACTTTTAGACATAGCTATAATTTGCTTCATGTCTTTCAGAGCTTTTGGACTATTTAACTTTTACCAGATCAAGTAAAACCTCATATGTACATTGTCAAGAGATTGACAAGTTAGGAGATAAAATAGGCAGAAACTAGTAGGAACATTGGCTTGCATATTGAAATGAATTTTAAATTGTTAGAAAACATGCTAAAAGAGAAGGAAATTCATATAATTTAGCTAAAATATCTGCAATGCCCTTCAAATTAAAAAGACACATAAATATTTTGTTATGTGTTGTGATAAAACATAAACGTTTCGTAGCTTTTAATGTGTAATTATCCTAATATCGTTTAAGAATTAATGTCATAAATTACTTGTATTTTAAACTGTGAAATGAAATTGTGATTTTAATAGTGCTTTTTGAACAAATATTTTAAAAGAATAAATAAAATTTAATAGTGGCCATGTAAATGCCTAAGGACTAAGAGTATCTAACTACCTAATTTAGTTATTTATAACTAATTGCTCACTTTAAAAGTTATCTCTGCATATTAAAGTGAGTTATTGCCTTTCATTAATCCTTACTATGGTCACAAGATACAGCACAAAAATGTAAAAATTAGTGTAAAACTTATTCTGTGCATCTGGTGAGCTTTAAAATAATACAAAACAACTTATAAGTCTGGTGCTTTAGTGGTTTATTAGAACCTTAAAGTATATTAACTGGGTTGCAACCCCTTTAACTCTACATTAAGCTACAACACTAACTGCAGAGCCAGATTCAGACTTTATTAGGCCCTAAGCTATTTGAGATTATGGGGCCCTTTATAAGTCTGTTATACTATATTTTAATTTTTTGGAGGAGGGCTAAGCTGTATCTTGCGTAGCTTATACGTAAATCCTGCACTGACCAAATGAATCAGACAGATAGAGCACAACTAACTTGCCAACCATGCTTGCGTCAGGCTTTTAGGTTTGTTCTGATCAGCAGGTCTCTCACTAGGAAAGCAGCAGAAGTGGCAACAGCCTAGTCTTTCTATTATGAATCATCCTGATTATGATTTTATTCCTTTTTTTAACAAGTTGATTTTTATAATTACATATATTAAATAATGTTTAATAATAATGCATCCTATTAATAGATCTATTTTATTCTTAGGATGGTATTACAAAAGTGAAGTTCAGGCATAGATAAATATCTTTAATTGAATTTACTGGGTTCTCATTTGCTGATAGGTCCTTAAATTCACATTAATGGTCTTTAAAAGTCTTATTTCCATGTGCAGAAATGTGTACTAACCCTGTGAACCATAGCAAGTTTCCAAGTCCTGACTTTTAGTGTGATGCTTCTGGAGGAAATTCTAGACGGCTCGTTAACTTCAAAGGATGTTCTTCCTCTTTTGAATTGTCTATTCCAGTATGCCTTGGAAGCTTATTACATCATCACAATAACAGCAAATAATGACTAAGAATTCAGAATTAGAATTGGTTATAATACTGAATAAATAAAATTCATTTTGTTAAAATTTTTCTACTTGTAGTATGTGATGTAGATAAAGAGTTCTTAAATAAGAAATTTATTTCCTTTACAGTGTCATCCATTTTCTTGTGAAATATGCATTTTTATTTTTTAAAGTTTTTGAAGTTAATTAATAAATGCTAGACTTCCCCTTTTGCAAAGAAAAAGACGTGTATTTATTGATAGAATTTTTTGTGTATTGATTATTTTCTTCGCTAATAAAGCCAGTGGTAACATATTAATTTAATTTAGTATTATTTGGCATTAATTTCATTTAGTTACAAAAAAATGTGCTTTTTTTTAGGAAATAACTTTTTTTCCCCTAAATTTACTTTATAGGAACCAGTGTTTCATCTGCAGTCTTTGAAATCTAATGAAGATATTGATGAAAATATATTAGAGAAACATTGTACTGAATTAGAAACACCAGAATCCCTCAAAAATGAAAATTCTCCCATAATTTTAAGATGTGCTGTAAATGAATATGATAATGAGTCAAAACCTGCTGAGAAGGATAAGTTATCAGTTGATTTTTCATGCCAAAAGGACATGGAAAATAATTGTCCTCAGGAGGAATCACAAAGTAACATTTTAATGGCTGAAGTAAGTGTATCAAAACTGTTGTAATGTTATCCTTTCATGCATGATTCATTCTTTCATAATAGTAATTTATGATTTAAGCAATTTTTTTAGATTGTTCTCTGGAATATGTGTGAAAAATAATTTTAATACGTGTATTTTTTATCAAGTGTTCAAATATTCTGACAGATCTTCAAATTTGAAAATTATATTCATGCTTTCAGTTTTACTATAATATGAAAAAGTATCAAAGCTGAACTTCAGTAATCTGCATTTATTCATAAATTTAGCTTTTATTGCTATTACGGCAACAGCTGAATTTTCAAAATTAGAATTATTGGTTCCCTTGAAAGCTGTTAGGAATGGTGAACAAAATTAATTAAACAACAAAACAAAAATACAAAAACAAAACAATAAAAATTAATAATTAAAATTGAATGAATTTCAAAGAGATAAAAATATGAATTAGCTGAGTAATGAAGAGGTAAATAATAAAACAAATGAAAGGTGAGTAAATTAATAATAACAAGCAGGGAAAGCTACATAGACAGTCGCAGATGATGACGATTTTCGAAGGGCATGAGGTATATTCTCACAAACAAAAACTAAGATGTATTTAATTTTAATTAATAATTTCATTTGTGTGGTATGCCAATTTGAATAACTTGTAGGCTATCAGAAATGCTGAATTTAGCAGTATTTTTCTGTGATAAGAAGAATTTGCATATTTATCTTTATTTCTCATCCATTTGAAGCTTTGTTGATCAGATGGCTACACCTTAAAAAAATGTTGCTGTTTCCATGTGGATCACATTATGATATGGGGTTTTTGTTTCACAAGTGTACAACTTTTCCCAAGCATTTTACTCCTAGAGAAAGTTAGGCATGCATTTAATATGTAGCATCAATATCAGTTTTTGCTAAGAAATGTAGAAGTACCAGAGTTCATCTGCAGTAAACTCCACATGAATTTAAGCCCTGATTAGAGCATTATTAATATGTTAAAAGCACATCCAGCTTTTTGGGCTGAAATACTTCTTTAAATTAAAAGAAGTAAGTACTGTATGTGATATATTATATACCAATATCTTGTATGTCTTGAATGAAAATTTCACAAATTTTTATTTGAAGTTTGATTTTTGATAGTTTAGCTAAAGATCTGCAGCAACACAAACATTTTTGGTTATTGGGAGTCATTAAATAAATTGAAATTTTTATCTGAATATTGGTTTTTGATTGTCTAACGAAAAATCTGCAATAATACAAACATTTTCAATTATTCAAAGTCGTAACTTAAATTGCTATTGTATTAAATAGTTTAAAAGGGTGTTGATTAATAATGTAGTAGTATGTTATTAAACAATATGCTAATGTTTCATTATTCTGTATTGATAGGTATAAAGTTCAATTTTTCATTAAAGTTTATTGCTTAATCATTTATGTGTGATCCTATATTTTAAATATTTATAATATGCTTTTAAAATATTATGAAAACAGCTGAAAACTTATTTTACCATCATTATCAGACATATAGGAATGCTATACTTTCATCATTTATAATTTATATTCTAATGTACATACCTAAAAATTTTCATTATCCTTGCATGAATGATCACTATGTTGTAAGGAATTGTTTATAATTTTATTCTTATTATCTTGTATAATAAGCTAAAAATGTATTTACTTTTTAATTAATACTTCAGGTGACAGTTTTTTAAAATTTATACTAAAATAGCACTAATGAAAATAATTATTTGTAAAATTGCTAAATACGTTTCAAATGTTTGCAAGATAGCTATATTGAAAGCATGTTTTTCAATTATCAGGATTCTGTAAATTTTGGTATTTAAATATGTTGAGCAGAATTAAGGAAAAGAATGCTGTATTTACACTTCTGAATTTTCCTTTCAGTCATTTAATTATCATCTTCAAGCATGTAAAATTATTATTAACTTTCTTAAAAATATTTCTTTGAATGATTGCCAGGATAGAAAATTGTTGCAACTAAATAAAAGGGTGTGGGGGATAATATAAGCTAATGTCATAACTTATAATACTGTGTAAGAAAATTAATTAAAAAAATAGTAATGTACATATTTTCATTTTCTGCTCTCTCAGAAACGTACTAAAATGCTGTATAGTGGTTTACTATCATTTATGAGAAAGAACTGGTATTTTAGTTATCTGTTAAGAAAAATGTTGATTTTCTTTTAAGCAAAAATAAAATTTTACATTCAGTATCAGCATTTTTAAAAAATGCATCATCTGTGCAATTTATATCTGTTAAAGCGCTTAAGGTAAAATTACTAAATTTGTTGAAATTTTTATTAATATTTAAAGAAAATAATGAAATTTTTATGTAAGTTCTTTACTAGATCTTTATTAGCTTGAATTCCCTGTTTTCTGTGCCTTTAAGCTTGAGGTAAAAATTTTTATCTTTAATATGAAATTTTTAATTTTAGTTTTTGTAAAATGTCTGTAATTAGTGCAAACTAGAGGTGAGTAGTAAAAAATTTTGTGAGATGTAAGTCTTCTGTTCTGTCGATTTATCAAGCTCCTTGTTAGTTTCAGTTTTCTTTCACAATGAAGTATATATAAGTTATGTTATTTTTACTTTTGTAATAAGGTAAAATGTCAGAGCTTATAAAACTTTACACGTTACAAATGTGTTAATTACCACATTTATTATCAGATGACAAAATATTTAAATGCTTAAGTTCTGAACACCCATGCAGTTATGTTTTTTCTATAGTTTTTTGTAAATGCTTCAGCATAATCATCAAGTTAACCCCCTTTTTTATGTAATGAATTTCTCTTTGTCTTTTTCACATGTGTGTTTATTTTATTTGTGTTTTAAAGGAAAGTAAATATGATGAAGGAAAAAGAAGTTCATAGAATAATGCAATTTATTATATTATATACAGGAAGGACTTGAAGATCAAACTTCTTTTCATTGTGTTAACTCTGGTGTAGAGAAAGATATTTTAATTAAGCATTGTACACAGTTAAGTTTGTCAGAGATGACAAATGAAGGAAATCAAGAAAATGAATTAGTTGATTCTGTTCATGCTGACAAGTCTCAGAATAGTAAGCATCCAAATAGTCCATCTACAGAAACCATACATACAACTGCTGTGAAAACAAAACAGTCACCGGAAGAGAACCAGAATGTAAATGCAGTCACTAAAGTATGTATCCAGCATCATATATATACTTGTTTAAGCACATATTTTTGTGCTCAGTACTAAACATCACTTTACAAAACTGAACATTTGTTAAAATACTATTTTTGGTTGTTTTTTTACACATTAAATATTCAGGTAAAAGTGAACTCGTATTTAAAAAAGGCAAGCAATTATTTTGTATCAGTATTCATATTTATTTTTCTTAGTTGCCAGATTATTTTAATTATTACTTGGAAATAATTAAGAATTAATATTGAAATAAAAATTTACATTAACCCCTCTATTCATAAGCTTCAATATAGTGTGAAATTCACTTTTTTTCATTTATCACACTGCATGATAAATATATTCTTGGACACAATATTAAAGGCTTGAATAAATTAAAGAAGAAGCTGTAATCATTTTAAAATCTTTCCTACACCACTAATGAGAACAATGGAATATAAAACAAAATGTTTGTCAGTATGCAGATGTTTGCAATATATGGAGTATGTGGTAGGTATATGGTTTTTTATTAATTACTCTAAAGTAATCAAATATTTATAAAATTTATCAATAATGTATAGTATATTGCAAATTATAACGATTAGATATGTTCACAAGTAAAATAAAAATTTAAATTATAAAGTATATGTAAAGTGAAATAGTAAAGATGATCACAATTTAAAGGGTGATAAAATATGGCTAAAGTGGCAATACAATACATAATCGAAAGTCAAGTGACTTAGAAAAGAACATTTGCTGATGAGTATACAAAAAAGCTGCATTTCACACCTTTGTTGTTTGCGAAGTGTACAGCTGAAGAGATCCAGTAGTATTCTAGTGCTGAGAAATCAGGTGTGCATTTAATGCATAGGGCAGCAAGGCAGCAAATAATAATGTTGTCAATGTGCAACAGCTTGCACTGGTCACTGTTAGAGTCCAAGTCATCCAATACTGATAGACATGACACATGTACTTTATCAACTTTGCAAATGCAGAGCAGGGTGAAGATAATCCTGAATGATGTAGATCATTCAGGATTGTCTTGAAATCAGGCGCTTGCACTGTAGGACATTTGTGTAGTGCGAGCCACAGGATGTTATTCCGTCTGCTTCTTGAGGAATGATTATACCTTTAACATCTCCCTGGGGTCCAAGGTTTAGTAGAAATGGATTTTCCTTGTGGTATATTTGCTTGCTTGTTCCTTCTACAGTCCACAGTGCTGCCAACTTTTGTAGCATTAGTTCTGTTCATATATGAAGAAACTTTTGTGTATGATGGCACTTTTAATATGCATAATGCTCAGGTATAAGTTTCAAAAAATCCTCATACAGTAGTCTTGTATCCAGCAGTGTTTCTCTTTGAATGTATGGACAGAGATCATCCGCAGTCACTTGACTGACAATACGTCCTGCCAGAATGCCTCAACAGAACTAGATACTGTATTTTTCTTCAGCAAGTCCTGTGTGATTGACTGGTAATTCCAGCAAATATCCATGTGCACATATGGTTCTAGTATGATAGTGTGCTGGCTCAGAATGCAATGAAAGGGAGGAATACAGTACAAAGTCCGTAATCCGGACGTCCATTATCTGGAATGATCTATAATCCGGACCTCAAAGCCACAATTTTTTTTTTTTTTTGTATGCTTTACACGTGCGCATAATGCATTTACGCATGCACATTTAATGCACGCTTCTGATACTGAAGAAAGTGACAGAGAGGTTAAAACGAAAAACTTACGATTGACAAGTTAGTTGGTATTCTGGACACAGGAATTACATGACTTCAGCAGTGGAACTTTGTAACTGAACTAAAAATTATGTCTGTTTATAGAATTAAAGAGAAAGTATTAGCACAAAAAACGAAGCAACTTAAACAACTTACATTGAAAGAAATGTTTAATAAAGTAAACAAATAAATATTAAGTTTTGTTTTTGTAAATTTTGATACCCTTTAGATCATAATTGCTCTTTATTTCATAAATTACGGTTTCATATTTGTGATTGTGTAATTTCTGCATGCCATCTTACCAGATTTAAATTGATGATCTATAATCTGGAATCGCTGAAGTCCCGGTGAGTCCAGATTATGGACTTTGTACTGTATTTTAATACCCAATTTCCAAATCAATGAATTGGTTGTGAGGAACCCATCCTTTGTGCCCTAGATCTCTATATCTCTGCTACTTTCATTTCTTTTTCTGGGAACATCAGACAAGTCTTGTTTATGAGATGCAGAATGACTCATTTGAAGACCTTACTGCCAAAATTAGTATCGTTGCTCAGAAATATGGAAAATACCAGGTATCTTCGAACATATACGTTAATCACTCCATTGTTATGATGTGTGCACTGCAGTTGGTGGCTGTCCATTTGAACATTTCTTATAAATATTTGCAGTTAAAATGCTTTTTTGTGAGCCATGTTCTACATGCTTTTTGAGTTTCCATATTCACATCCCATTTCCTGTTATATTAAATAAATTGTTACTTTCAATATATTATACTGCTCCTTAAAGTAATCTTTCCTGTTACACCGTGTATATTGCTGATTTTATTAAGCAGTGTATAGTATTAATGTGAAAGATAAATGTCATGTGGGATGGCCAAATATGTCATAACGAGAAATTTCCATGGCCTAGTAGGCAATGAATGCTTTAGTTGCATAATTTAACATAATGGGAAATAGAAAGATTAAGTTATAAATTTTTATGATGTGGAAATTATTAAGAAATACGGTACTACTTCTGAGATCCGAACTTGTTGGAACTTAAACGATTCCAGATTTTATAAATTTTTGGATTTTTAGATCATAAGTCTAAGATAACATGTGGAAATTATAAATTTAAAAATATGAAACAATGAAACATTTGTGATCTCAAGGGAATCCAAATTTACAAAAAAGTTGAATGTTTATTTATTTGCTTTGCACACAGAAAAAGTGGTATTATGACTCTCTGACTTTTATTTTGTGAAGAGGAGGTCAGACATTGAGTGATAACACCTCTTTTTCTGCAGAATCTTTTTTTTTTTTTTTTTGTTTGTTTGTTTGTTTCTGTACATTTAAAATTAACCAAGGTACCAAATAAATAAATAAAAGTTTCCTTTCTTTGGCATTGTTTTTGGTAATTATGAGGGTAATTCAAAAAGTAAGTTTCCCATGGCCCATAAAAATTAAAAAACATAATTAGCTTAAAAGAGTTACTGCAAATGATACAGCAATATTTCAACTGCTTTTCAACATAAGAATCATCAGAATTGTAATGCTTATACATATATTATTGCCCACAAACTGGCCAGCTTGTGGCTTTGCTCTGTCCATTCGCAGTGCCATCTTTTGGCAATGTGGGAAACTTACTTTCTGGATAACCCTCTTATTTTTCCATTGCAATTTTATTGATGCAAATTTAATTATTATTCTTAATTTTTTAACATAAATTAATAATTTAATCCAGATTGCGTATGCTTGTAGCTTTTAGATAGTTTTTTTTTTAAGTTTTACATATTGCATTTAATATTTTTATGAAAATTGAGGAGCAGAGTTCCTTTTTTATAGAAAAGGCACTTTTAATTTTTGGTGTACAGAAAAACATTTGTTTATTCATTTAATTGGTTAATTTTAAGTGCACAGAAACAAGAAAAGATTCTGCAGAAAAAGAGGTTTTGTCACTCAATGGTTGACTTCCTTTTGACAAAGTAAAATTCAAGGAATCATAATACAGTTTTTTTCATGTGTTTTCCTCTTCATTTGTTCTTTATTAAAAATTTGTCTTTGCTATTTCATTTGATGGCACTATGATATTGATTTTTTATAATTTTAACAAAAGCAAAATAATTTTTAAATTTTTACTTTCAATATCATTACTTTATATATTTTTTTGCTTAATTTCTTTTGCCTGTTCAGTTATAATTATTTTTTTGAACTTTTTCAGATCATTACATTGCTATAACTTGAAAGATAAAGAAAGAGTTTTCTTTTTGAAGATACATAACAATATTTTATCAGTCTGCATAATTGATTAATGCCATGGCATAATGTGATTAAATATAATAAAATGTATTGTGAATAAAATAAAGTTATTAAAAAAAGACTAAACTAATAATAATTTAAAATAATTTTGTCATTACTCAGCTGGAAAAATAATGATTTATGGAAAAGAATTTTTAAAAAAATATTGCTCGTGCAAAATGCTATGGAAGAAAAGAGGTAACTAGGAAATCTGTATAATATATTACAGAGCATGTTTGTACATTTTTTAGACGATTTTCATTGTATTTATAGAAATATTTTACTTAAAATTTTTGTGTTTTAAATGTTTTGTTTAATAATCTGTATTCTTCACTATTTTTCTGCGCCATAATTTCCAAGACAGTAAAGTGTTTTGTAGTATTGGAAGAGGTATTTTATCCCATTCCTCTTAAACAACTTTCCAAAGTCCAAGGAGGGTTGTTTCCAAAGTCCGACGTTTGGAAAATCCGCATTTTAAAACTCCATAAGCGCGGAAATTCATGGGGGATCAGGAGATTTAGTAGGGATATGAGTGAAGGGTATGGGCTTGATAGCAGTTTTCTTGTTCTATTTTTTTCAGGAAACCAATACTTGATTTTGATGTATGGTTGCTTGCTTTGTCTTGATACAGTGCTACTGAATGATGCCACTGTTAGTGAAGAGAAGGTATTTTGTACTTAAAAAGTGGGTATAAAATATGCTTCTGATAATATGTAGAGTTGATCTTAACATTTTTCTCCTCTCTCTTTATTTTCAGTTTGCTGTTATATGAAAAATCAACAACAATCAAGTCCTTTTGAAAAACTTTTATATTCTTTGAACATGTTTTAAAATTTTTTTCTCCTCTTTGATGATAATAAATGAATCTCTTTTTATTGCAGTCATTTAAATATGCTCAAGATTCATCTATTGTGACAACATTTTTCCATTTTTGTTCGGATAAATGTTTCTCATAAAGAGTTCTGTAGCGAGTTCTATGTTCGAAGATATGTCCTGAAGAAACACAATGCACATTAGATTTTTTTCACCTTTCCAAGATTCATATCAGCATTAATTGCTTTGTTTACAATTGAAACTGAGCATTTTAATGGTTTTGCTACTGTCCTTTGACTCTGCAGATTTTCTTTTAACATTAAAGGTCTTACCTTCCTTAATAACATTTGAAACATTCTGTCTTTTCTTTGGATATGTATTTGGAACAATTTTTCCACCTGAAGGCAAACTTTGACATTTTTTTTTTTTTTTTCCTTTCTTACAGTATTACCTGTTGTAGCTTCAAACATTGAAAAACCATGACTTTCACAGTGTTTTTTAATTAGATATTTGAGTAATTTTGAGTGATTTTCTTTGAAAAGAGCACAAACATGGCTTTCCATCCATTGCTTCTTTAAAAGTGCCATTTCACATGAAAACAAAATTGTCAAGTAGCAGATGATAACTCATACTTTCAAAAATAAAGCTGCAGCTAAAAAACAATTTTCCAAACAGATATTTATTTTTTTTTTTTTTTTTTTTTTTTTTTTTTTCTAGTCGCAAAGCAAAATCGTTTAAGAAAAGGTGCGAACAGCCTCTGTATTCTAGTTTATTTGTGCATTAAGCATTTAGTGCTGTTATGTATTTAATTTTTGTTGATAAATTTTCCAGCATTGGTGAAGCAGTCATGCAGATAAATTCATATGATTTAACATACTTTAAAGAATACTTATAAGCCATATTCAGTGATACATTCTAGGGATTTTTATCATTTAATAACAAATTATATGATTGATACTTATTTCCAATATATTTTTTGAGCAAAGCATGTTTAAAACTTTTAGAATCTATTTTATTATTTTAAGACATATATCAATTTAATATAACATGCTAATTGTTTATTCTAAGAAATAGGTTTGATTTCATTCACGATGGGGCAAAAAGTTATGGGAAACAAATAAGCAACATATAGGTGGATTACAGTCTTATAATTATCAAATAAGAACCATATTCTCTAATACATTTAAATGTAATGAAATCAGTATAAACCTTTAAATAGAGGAATTGTAGTGAAGAATTAACTGTATTGGGCTAAGAGGTATTGTCTGAGGACCAACAGATTGTGATTGCGCTTATGACTGATAAAGGTCATATTTAGTATAGCGATGCTTGCCTGGGTAGTTCTCAAGCATGGCACTTCAGTAATTAAATAAGTCTCAATTTTTGCAAGTTTGTCCCAAATTCTTGTTAGTTATTATATTGATATTTAATGCTGAAAAATGGCATGATAAACATATAGTTCAATTAAACTTTTTATGTCTTTCCCTCAAAATAAATGCTATAATTTTGCATTATTTTTGTTGAACAAATATCATTGGAAAGTACTCAGATGGAAAATATTTGTGTTCCAATAAATAGGTGAATTTGCATGTAATAAAATTTGAATTACAATAGAACCTTGAATCATGAACAGACTTTCCAACGAAAATTGTCTTAGATCATGAACGATGTCTTGAGATACAAGAAAGAAAGGCAGCAACAAATTATTAGTCCAAAATACAGTTAATGCAGTGGAGGAAGTATGTTCAGAAGAAGATAGGAGGGAGTCTGTTTATAGTCATTAAAACAGTAATAAGCCATACTATAAATACTTCCAATGACAATACCTTGTCTTGCTTTAGATACGTTTTAAAATGTTGACTAGAGTGAATCACATTGAACAAATTTTTAAAGGGCAAAGGCCCCAGTGATTCTCAAGTAGACACAAGTGGTGTTAAGAAAAAAGGGATAAAGAACTCAGAAAGGCAGCAGCTGTCTGGTATTTTTACAAAATAGTATTTCCCTTGCAAGCAATAACATTTTGTACCTTTGGCTTCTTACCATTTTCTACTTATGTCATCAAATTCCCTCTGTAGAAATACAGTAAAATTTAATTCAAGTTTTCATATTTTTCTTTATTTTATTGTGTTTAGTGTTGTTAAAAACTGTGTTTATGTTAATACTGTGTATATTTTGGATTTAATGAACACCATCATTTTGAATTACAAACATATATTCGGAGCATTCTAAGCTATCATTTTTGATTTGGGAGTGAATTAATTAATTTTACATTAATTCCTATGGGAAGAATTGTTTTGGCTTACAAATATTTCATTTGACAAACTAACTTCAAGAATGATATTAGTTCCTGAAACAAAGTTTCATTGTATTATACTACCCTATTACACTGGTAGATATTTAAGCATTTAGTAAAGAATTGACTGAAGATTTACAGTTGTGAAAGATTATAGAAGATTTCAAATCAAGAAGTTTATTTAAAGCAGTAATAATCAGAAAAATTTAATATTCTGCCAAAATGGGTTAAAATATCATACCCAATAACGATTATTGAAGGTTACAAGAATCAGCGTAATATTCATAAATTTGCAAGACTAATTTTGCTAATTTATGAATATTATGGTAATTCTTGTTGCCTTAGCACCTACGATAATTCAGGCAACATTTAACTCAACAGTACTGAGAAATCTTATATGCATATTATGTGCATAGGTAATATATATTGAGAAAACTAGGTGTTAAAATAACCTTGTAATAAACAGCGTTCTTTTGTAGGAAAACATTCTCCTTCCCTAAATTTTTGTCATTATTATCAGTATCTATTTTAGGCTATGATAGCTGCAAAAATTATTACATTCATATAATTTTGTGCTGGAAACTACATCTCGTTAAGTGCATTAAAATTACAGTAATACAGTAAAATTTAATACTATGCATAATATATAAATAAAATAATTACATGTGGACTTAAGGTCATTAACTATTGGAAGGTCATTAACTAAGTAAGGGGAAAAAATTCTCATTCTAACTTTAAGGGTTAACTAGATACTTGTTTGGATTCAATCAGCATGTGCCCTTTGTATATGAATATTGCAATATGTTCAGACTATTTCATCTGTAATTAAAGAAGTTTAAACATAATAAAAGTTGACATTAATGTTTAATTTAAGTTAACCAGAAGAAATTAATCATTTACTGAAAGCTAAAAAATTAAGGTTGTATTAGAAAACGCCATAATAATAATGTAAGACATTTTGTAGATAAATTATCTTTATGTTAAAGTAGTGTGTTCATTTTTATGAGATATTTTTTTTTAATTTAAAATTGTGTATTGATTAGAAAATACACAAGTATTCCTCTGCATTAGTATCCTTTGATTTCAATAATATATGCTTGCATCTAATTGGATTTAGCAACTTAATTGTTTTACTGATAGCATGTTTCTTATTCATTTAAATTCTAGGATATTGTGTATGGTCATGAATCTGCGAAATTCCATAAAAACTGTGATTTTAATGGAGACATGCCAACAAACCATTCTAATGAATTAGGAATACCAAACTCCCCCCAAATTAAGCATTCTAATACTATTTTAAGACAGTCTTCAAGAGACTTTAACTGTGAATCTAAAGCTTCTGAAAACCAGAGCAGCTTACCAGTTCATTCCTTCTGCCAAGAGCAAGATAACTATTTTCCAAAGCAAGAAATTCAAAGAGGAATTCCAATACCTAAGGTGAATGCAACTGATTTTGAATAACTTAATTTTTTTGTTAGTTATATTTTAATATTTTATAGTTTTTAGCTCACAAAATTATATGCACTTAAAAATTTTCTGCACATTAATGAAATTTATATTTTGACAAGTACATTTTAAGGCTTGTAATTTTCATGCAAGCATCAAAATTTGAGAAATAAGGAAATAAACAAAGCATTAAACAAACATTTCTTATTACACTAGATGCATATATCTTGACCTGCTGGTAAGGAAAGACCAAATGAAGACAATAAGTAGAATTGCAAGACACCTACTGATATGTTGTACATTAACACAAGTGTTTTTAGTACAATATCCTCTATCTAGAACAGTTTCATTAAAGAATCATAAGTCAAAACAACTTTGAAATCTTTATTTAGCAAGTAAGAAAATTTTACATAAGTAGAACAAAAATTAAATTAACATTCTTCACAGACAAAATTGAAGATACTTACCTCTTTAGTGATAATTGGAGTACCTTTCCAAGATAGAAGGTAAAATGGCTGAGAGAAAAATACTTTGTGACTCATACTCAGTCTCAGGTATAAGGCATAAGGTGAATTTTATCTCACCAGTATATAGCTTGGTGCATGTTTGACTTATGCTTCCCTCTTTTATTATGCAAAAGGGACACTAATGTTTACCAATAACTGATCCCTGCAAAATTGAAATTAAGTTTTAGGAATTGGTTTAGTCATATTTGCAACCATTTGCTGTGTTGAAAGATAAGACTGTTATGTAGTGCTTTTGTTATGCATATATGATGACATTTTGTGTCAGCGTATTTTGTATGCGTACTGTCCTTTTCAGATTAGACAGGTTTTTATTGTTAATTGATTATCTTCAACAACTTTTATCCTTAAAGTTTTTCAAATCTGTTTTAACAGCCACAATGATACTTGGATAACTTGCAAAAAAGTCCAGCATATTCTGCTTCTGCTGGGGATAAAGAGACACACGTTTGTTCTTGAAAACCACGAAATACAAATGCTGCCTATTAAAATTGCACTTCTTGGTGTGGAATTTTTATCTGCAGTGCGTTGTCCCCAATCAGCTGTAACTAAGCTATAATCTAACAGCTTGAGTAAATTAGGTTCTTCACTTGATAAAATATATAAATGTTTTGTTGCATTTAAGTATTTAATGAATCCCTTTACAGCATTTTAGTCCTTTTAATGTGGGTTATTTCATCTTCTGCTAAGTATTTGAGTTGAAGCTGTGATATCTGGTCTTCTGATAGACAATGTATTCAAAATACTTACGATAGTTTAGCAAAATTGTTCGAAGGTGGAAGATTTTTCTTCCTTACTTAGATTATAGTAATATGTTTCCACTGTTGTGCTAATAGATTTTGACTCTTCAAGTTTAAATTGCTTGACAGGTTGGTTACTTTATTTTTCTGAAATAACAGATAACTTCCATCTTCCTTTTGATTTATTTACTTGCCTAAGAAATATTTAACTTCACCAAAATGTGTAATAGCATTTGATAATGTTTCTTTAGGTCTTGAAGTGTAGTCCTTTTTTAGAACTTATTAGAATATCATCAACATACACAGCACATACAATACAACATACATTTTTCTTAGAGATCCGCTTTGCTTTGATTGAACTCAATATTTTTCATTATATTTTAATTTCTGCATTCCAGCATCTGCTTGTTTGAGACCATAAACTGACTTCTTTAATTTACGGATTCTTAAATTTCTTCTAGAACTACAAATCCTTTTGGTCGTTCTATGTAGATTTTTTCATTTAGCTTGCCATGCATGAATTCAGTTTTAACATCATGTTGATGTATGTTTGCATTATTATATGCTGCCCATGCTTAGAAAACTTTAATTTTAGTTTGTTTCACTAATGGTGATAATATGTCATCATCATTGCCATATTTTTAAATAAATTCTTTGGCTACTAATTTTGCATTCTATTTTCTTACCAGTTCCATCCAATTCAGTTTTTAAACATGCATTTTCTGCCTACTGCATATTTTCATGGCGGTAAATCTATAAGTTGATAGGTATCTCCCTTTAAGAGAATTTATTTATTAATTCTGGAAAAGACTAATTTTAATTAAAATATATGTAATTTAATGTACACTTTTGCATGTACTAAATGAATTTTAAGTATAGTTAATGCTCAAAAGAATGATGATTTAGAGGGAGAAGGGGCAGTGAAAATGAGATTGAGATTTAGATTCCATGTAATGATTCAAACAGCAATGGACATTAGCTTTAAGCTTTGGTCGTTAAACTATTAGATTTTGGTTCTACCTGACCGAATGAAAATGTCTGTCTTTTCTGTATAGGAATATACCAAACAGTTTTCTACAGAAAGATACATGCACCAATGTTACAGGTTGCATAAATTAAATAACTTGTCCTCATCTCTTATAATAATATTCTTGTTTTCAAAGTACTGTCGATAAAAAGCTTTTAAAAGATGTTGTTCTATTCTGTTTATCAAAAGAGAGTTTATCTAAGAGATATATTTTTTATATTTGGGAAATTATATTGTAATTGAAATGAGCTGATAATATGAGTATGTTTTCTAGCTGGAAGTATCAAGTTGAGGCATGTAAAGTACTCAAAATTAATTAGTTTATGTCCTTTAATGTAAAAAATCTAAAACAATGTTAAAAGTGAACTGAAGGAAAATGTGTAAAACATTAAAGTGCAGGTTAGTTTAGAGATCTTATAAAACAATGACCATAAAGTTTAGTAATAGTTTTTAAAGCATTATAGTACTTTAAGTAACAGTTAATGCTGGTAGGTTTGGAATTTCAGTATAGGTTTATGTTCTCACCATTCAAAGCATCTAAATTTGACATGGTACATATGATAAAATACTTACTTAAGAATATGAAAAATACACCATACTTTAAACACATTTGTAAATTATGTGTTCATTATGTCACAACTGGTTCAGGGTCTGAAGTCTGTCTCTTGAGGGGGTTGCGAGAGCAGAAAAAATTTCACTACTTTCCCTTTCGTGACTTTTGAAAATTGCTCCTACCCTGTAGGGTGCACAGATTGAGGAAAAATATGTGGTATGATGTAGCACGTGTGTGTTGGCATGTGTATGCTAATAAAAAGGGGGGAAATATTTCGCTCAAATCAGAAGCCCTGCATTCATTTGCTTTGTGTTGTTGCACTTTTGGCTTCATGACTCTACATTGTTTTATCACTTGTGTGTTTATTTTGCTTTTTGAGACCATTAAGAAGTTTCTTGTGTTGAATATTTTACTTGTTTTTAAATATTATCTTGAAAGAGGAACCAGTATAGAATTTTTGTCATTTTTGTTCCACGTAGTTTTGATAGTTACTTGCCTTAATGAATGGATCGAAAACGAAAAAATCGTTAGCGGATGATAATAGGAAATTTTCGAAAGCCTGGATTTTGAAATACTTATTTGTGGAGCAAGAAATCAAATTACATGTTGGTATGTAATTTTACCATGAGTATAACATTGAGCGACACTACCACACGAAACACTCGACATTTTCAAATCTTGAAGGAGATGATTGAAATTGTAAAAACGAATCTCTTCGCCATTCTCTCATTGTACAAAGGAATGTATTTACAAAAGCATCTTCACAATTAGATAACTGTGTTAAAGTTAGTTTGGGGATCGCAGACCTAATTGCTAAAAGTGACTACCCTTTTACTGATGGTGATTTTGAGGAGGAGTGCATTATGTTGCCATCCAAGAAAGTATGCCCTGAAGATAGGAAGAAATTTAAAGATGTGAGTCTCAGCAGAATGACAGTTAAGAAGAAATGAAAATTTATCTTGTGATGTTAATAAACAATTACAGATTGTTGCTGCCAAATTTAAGTACTTTTCTCTAGCAGCTGATGAGTCAACAGACATTGCTTCAACAGCTCAACTTCTTTTGTTTGTTAGAGGAATTTTAGAAAAGTTTGAAGTAACTGAAGAATTTACGAGCTCAATGCAAGGGTGAATAACTGGAGCTGATATTTTATCCTCCATTTTAAATTTGTGTTCTGCACATAATTTTGATACTAACATCACTACTGATGGAGCTCCAGCTATGATTGAAATTCAGAATGATATGGATAGTCTATTGAGAAACCATCTGGGCCATCAAGGCAGAGAACTGCTAAGGTATCATTGTGTCATACACATTCAAGTGTGACTTTAGCTATGTGCAAAAGAAATAGGATTTGACTGCCTAATGAAGTTAGTGAGTGATACAATCAATTTTATATGCTTATATGGTTTAAACCACAGGCAATTTTAGAAAATCCTAGAACACACAGATGCACCATCTCATAGTGGTTAGGGGAGCTTATAAGGTGTCGAAGGGTCCGGGTTCGAATCCTATAGAAGACATGGATGTTTGTAAGTGTATAGTGTTGGTGTGACATGGCGGCACTTAAAATATGCGGAGAGCCAAAAATCCTCTCCTGTGGATTGGTGGAAGGGAAGAGGGGTGGAAAAAACCTGGATCTCCCTGGGGCTGCTCTTCCTCAAAATTGGTTGAGGAAAATAGAAGTCCAGCCTCTCTTTGGAGTAGGCTGTGACAACCATTGTTCCATGTAATATGGACAAGACAGCAACATATATTACTCTGAAGTATGGTAGTTGAGCAATGTAGAGGCTTTGGAAATGTTTGCTGATTTGATTGATGAAATAATACAGTCAAAAGTCGTTAATCTGGAGTCGTCGGGACTTCGGCGATTCCGGATTATAGATCATCAGTTTAAATCTCGTAAGATGGCATGCAGAAATTCTAAAATTAAAAATATGAAACCATAATTTATGAAATAAAGAACAATTATGATCTAAAAGGTATCAAAATTTACAAAAAAAAAAAAAAAAAAAAAAAAAAAAAAAGCTAATATTTATTTGTTTACTTTTTTAAACATTTCTTTCAATGTAAGTTGTTTAAGTTGCTTCGTTTTATGTGATAATACCTTCTCTTTAATTCTATAAACAGACATAATTTCTTGTTCA